TGGCCCCCGAACTCGGCATGCCGAGCTGGTTGGTGGGCCAGTGTGTTCACCGAGTTCATATCGGCTTTTGCCAAGACTCCAAAACCACTTCGCTAAGCCTTACAGCTGCACACATTTTCTAAAAGATACAAGCCATTTGTGCTCTTAAAAACCCACTTGCTTCTCCATGACAACACACGTTTCTTGCAAATACATTTTGCCAATATGATCATAATGAGAGGACTATATACGTAATTTTGAATCACTACTGCATCAAAAATTGCTCTTCAGTAAACCTTTGATTCTTTAACACAATTTGCTAATATCACCATAACAATTCCTTATAAATCTTCAATAATCATCGTTGATAAAAATTCTTTCAGTAGACTCCTCTTCAAATTAAGATGGAGAAAATAATCTAATAGGAGAAAATAGTTCTTGTTTTGTACATGTTTAGTCCTTATTAATTTTTTTTATAAAATAAGCTCTTGAATTTATTGTTTTTATACACATTTTGTCTTTATGACCGACTATTCCAGATTAAGTTTTCAATATACACATTTAGTCCTTAATGTTATTTTTGCAAAATAAGTCATTGTTGTTTTTATATAGATTCAGTCATTATGATAAGTTTTTTTAGGTTTTTGCTCACATGACATTCTATATAGGACAATCATTAACGAGGTGTTCTCATGCGTGGCTCATTTGGAAAGTCAATCTTAGATCTATATGTTCAAGATTCATTATTGAAAGATCTACATCAGTTGAAAAAAATATATTATCCATAATGATTTCAAATGTTGGAGATGATGTCCAAGTTCATAAATTAATAAAAGTTATTGACATGAGAGTTTATCGGGGATGAAATTTGTTAAGTTATTAGTGATTAATAAATTAATAGAATAATAGAAGTTTGTGACGTGTCTCCTCAGTCCTCGCGATGGAACCCTAATCGTTCTAGGCTTTTAGTATTTTGCGATTCAAGGTCGTTGAGACAGTAAACCTCCTCTTTAACAGTTGCAAACTCGTTTTCAAAATTTTGGGTCAATTTGAAAAGAACAAAAACCTATTTGCTGAAAAGTGGTCAAAATCAACAAACCAATGAATTAGGGAAGACGCTAAACTTTTTTCTTCAGGGCGTTATTTTGTCTTGAAAGTGCAAATTCGAGTTGGGAGAAAGCAATAATAAAGAATGTCGTTGTCTGTTATGGAGATAGACAAAACAGAAATCAAAGACATCTTCTTCTTGGAGAAAACTAAGGTAGTGTTTGTTTTTTGTCTGCAGATATGCGTGGCCTCTTCTGTCTGCGCCGCGCAGACCACGCGCAGACATTAGCCTTCGCAGACTGTTTGTTTTTTTGAAGACTGCAGACCTAAAAAATGTCTGCGCGCCCTCTTCTTGGCGCAGATGTGGACCAGAGTCTTCTAACATCTTCAGACATCTTCTAGCCTAAAAAAACATATATATCTTTATTTTTTTTTAAGTTTTTTTTAATTTATATTTTTTCCAACTTTATTAATGATAAACAATATGAAAAAAAAATTACAAAACTTAAAAAAAAATGTTCGACAATACAAACATGATATTTTTGACAAATTTATAAATAAAGATTTATTAAATAATAGTCGTTGAAGTTGTTTATATAAATATGAAAAAAAATCATAACATATTCTTATATTTTTTTGCCAAATTTTGTAAAATATTATTTAATACAATATCGTCAATTTTCTCAAGAAAATATTTATGGTACGTTTTTAATGGATTTAATTAAAAAAAATCGAAGTTTATTTCCATCCATTTATGTATCAAATTTTTTGATCACTAATTATAATGTTTAGTTATAACTTTACAACCAAAGTTGTTGGTTTTATCAAATATATACGTTAATTCATACCATTTTTATTTTTAATTTTTATACAATAATACATAAAAGTTGATCTAGATTCGTTAATTATTTATAACAAAGTCATAAATATATTAAAAAATCACTTTGAAGTTTAAAAAAATCAATTTATTTAGATTTCAGTTTATTTTAGTAGCCCGCAGATGTTAAAAAAACAAACAATCTTCTTTTTTCAGACTGCAGACATTTGATCCACCTCTTCTACTGCAGAGGTCCACAGATGTGGTCCGCAGACTGCAGACATTTTGCCTCAGAAAAAACAAACAGCACACATTATTTGACCGATATAAGTGAAAGACAAACCATGTATGAGTGATTATCCCACGTAAGATATTATATGAGCAAAACCTAAGGAAAATCGGTCATAAGGATTGTATGTGTACAAAAAAACAATGACTTATTCAGCAAAAAAAAAAAATAAATAAACACATTAATGACTAAATATATACAAACTGAGAAGTTAACCTTGAGTAGTCGGTCATAACCTGCAGTAGCCAGTCATAAATACTGCATATGTACAAAACAATAAGTTAAAAGGCTTATTTTACAAGAAAAAATAATAAAGAATAAACGTGTACAAAACGATAACTATGTTATCCTATTAGGTTATTTTCCCAATTAAGATGCATCAATTAAGACTTTTTAGGAATCCATTTGAGATTGAAAATTGGAGAAGATACCTTGCAAATCCTTTGCTCTTTAGAAAAATACAAATTGAATATAAAAGAACCATTTTCATACTTCTGAGAATAAAATGACCTTTTTGGCTCTTTGATAGGAACACAAAAATTATTAAATATCACATTGTACCGACCATGAAACCATTTTTCTTTTTTCCAACTTCTAACACCACTATAAGAACGAATTCGATAAACATGTCTTCTTTCAACATTTTTAGCTTTAAAATTCGAATTCACAACAACATTATAAGACTTTTGCTTAGGCACCTTAACTTTTCTTGACTTTACTCTTCCTCTTTTTTTTCGAAATTCGGGGCTTCAAAACTGAATTTCTAATACGAAAATGTTCATCACACTTTGTAATCTGGGCACCATAAGCTTTTGGTACCCAAATATTTTGAATTTGGTACATTTGAACATCTTAAATGATGAGCTTTCTGTAAGACACCATACCTTCAAAAGAATTATTAGAACATGAAGAATCATCAATTTGAGTTCCCTTAGAGCATCTGCTAACACTTTACACTTAACACCTTCACTTTCAAAATTCCAGGAGATTTGCTTTGAGATTCACCATTTGAAACAACAAATTCTGAGTGTAAAACTTTTAAATCACATGACTTTGCTAAAACACAAGACTCCCCCTTAACAAAAGCATCAGGGGTCTTATTTTTCTCAGAAACATGAAGAACATCATGAACACCAAGAATATCTTCATGAATATCTTTATGAAGTTTAAGAAACACAAACATCTTTTCTCATAACATCTTTTTTTTCTTCTATTTCCATCTCTAATTTTTGTTGTTCATTTTCCAGATCTAACTGAACTTTGATAATACGAAATTGTCTTAATAAATTCTCATCAATTTGTAACCAATAATAGCTATATTCACCATACTTATACTTTGCGTGATCATATATCTTCCTATCAACATAGAGATTATACACCCCAATAGCATCTTACAACAGAGATTAACAAGGAACATCCAACGGCTATTCTTTTTTAAGATGAAAATTTGAATATGTAATCTTTAATCCTGGTTGGTGTTCTAATGGAAGTTAAAAACTCTGACACATCCATTAAATCTTCAACAAGAAATCAGAATTGAAAAGAGAAAGTAGATCTAGAGTGATTTCTAGAGAGAGAAACTCATTTGAGCACAAATCTCAGAACAAAACTCGAATATCTTCTTCTATTTCACTTCTCAAACAGGAATTAAGAACAAATCTAGAGAAAGAACGTGTAGAGAACAACAACTCTAAACAGAAACTTCGAATCTAGATTGGATTTTGCAAATACAAGAGATATTTCATTTCTACTTCAGAAAACTTACAAAACTTGAATAAAATAATGAGATTCATAAACAAAATTCGTCATTTCTTATTGTTTTTTTGCAGAATTTGCTTAGATCTACCACTTGTTGGATCCCAATATAAAATGACATGTGTGGAATAGTAATCAGAATCATGAATCAAGCTATAAATTGCAAGTAATTTGGTGAAAGTTCTAATATTGATGTAGATCTGGAACATGGGAAGCTTCAGTCAGACAAGCTAAGCTAAAGACTATTTATAACGGTTAAATACAACATTGAGAAATAAACTAAGCCAACCACTAAGCATAAAATACTTCAGAATAGTCTTCACAAATGCCAACTTCAGTGTCGATATTTTCAACCCAACAAATACATGGCTTGAATCGGTGTTTCAAAGCATGGCATTGAATACGCGCCTTACCATCATCGTGCGGCTTTCGTAACAATCAACAATGACGATGATGACAACAATGATAATAATAAGAGGTTCAGTATCCTCCTACAAAACACTTCCTATTCACCGGATCATAAGAAATGTCAAAATCAAATGATTGTATGAGGAAAGAAAAATAATGAATTACACATGTTAATTGTTGAATATATATAGGAGATAAAATAGAAAGGATATTTTATTTTTCTAATAATAATAATAATTAATAATAATAATAATAAAATGAGAGAAGGGTTAGAAAAACTTTTTCTAAAAATCGATTGGATGGATAGTATTTACTAGCCGCCATGCCATTTGTCAACCCGAAAGACCATTAGTTCAAGCCTCTATCTCTAGTCAAGTCTTTAATCATTCCTTCAAGCCAATACCCTAATCTCCCCTTTATGTTTTCTTTCACGTCTCTCTTCACTTATAACATCATTTTTTTTTCTTTTATTTTTTCACTCACGAATAGCAGCATTTCATACGTATCTTGATCCAACCACAAAATAAAATAAATTGCCTACAATGGTAAAAACAAGGAAAGTAAGTTGCTATCAAACTCATTAAATTCCAACCCTTTGGTTTAAAGATAAGATATTTAGCCTTTTTCAAGAACCAAATTTACAAAAATATACAACTTAACTTCTAACATAATTTTCAATATTACATGAAAATCATCCATCTTCCTTTACGTTGCTTGTAGCCGTGATTCCTGAAACATGAATTTCGCTTAAATGTAAGAAATAACAACCTACTTTCATCACATCAAAGTTGGATGTTCCATTACACAAATAAACAAAAGTACATTGGTATTTGTTGCATTTTGCCCCTTAAGTCTTAACATTTGCAGATTAATTTGTTATTTTTTTATATGAAAATGCATAACAAAGAGAATTATACCGTGGTAGCACGTAACCATGCATCATCAATGAAATCTTGATGCAGCCTCAGATAGTCATGCCTGTATTCAACCACACTCTTTGTTGCCCAAAAATAAACCGCATACTTAAACTCCTTCATGGTTTTAAAAACTTGACCCGTTTGCCACCCGTTGAAATCCCAAGCATCAACCCGATCATTTACTTGAAATTGATTGGGTGATTGAATGATAGGTGGACAAGGTCTCATGGACATCACATCAACCTCTTCTTTTAAAAGCCCATTATCCCTTGTTTTCAGTGTCCGATATTCCACCAAGTATTTACCTTTATTAACCGGGCCTAGAATCACTGCAGGGTACCAAGTGGTTAAAAATCCATTTTCACCGTGTGCTATTTCTACTTTCAGCCCCCGTAAAAGACCTACCATTAATGTTCTTCCACCACCTGTTTGTAATTTTACTTTTTCAGGTCGGGGTTTTTCCAAAAGTTTCGGTCTCTGCATACATTCAAAGTAACCTTATTTAATCGTATTTAATACATTATAAATGCATTAAACAGTTACCTAATTTGACCTCAATCAATGTTAAAAAAACAATATTGAATGCTAGACTTACCAAGAAAGAAGCAACCCATTTTTCATTGATCAGTTCTTGATGAGGTCTTAACTCGGAATGTTGGAACTCATATTCCTCATTGGTTATCCAAAAGTAGACTGTATACTTCAATCCACCAAGAACTTTTGAAACATGACCTACCCACCATCCATCATTATACCATGCATCCACTTCTTCAAGCATCTTAAAACGATCCATTCGATGGATTGTTGGAGGAGGAGGCCTTACATTTGAAGCATCCGCCATTTCCACAAGTGGTTGCATTTCATCATCTGTTTTTAAGGTTTCATATTGCACCAGAATCTTAGTTTCATCTACTGACCCGACCACCATGGCAGCATACCAGGAACCTTGGTACCCTTCTTCATAGCTTCTGACCTCCACTGGTGTACCATTTGGGAAGGGATCAGGTCTTAAAGTTTTTGATTTACATACTATCCTCAACTTTGTTCTTTTGTTGGATTGCAAAACCAGATGAGATGACTTTTCCTGTGGTTAATCATCATAGGGTAACATCAATATGTGTATCTATTTGATTGATTGTAACATGTAAGCATAAATAAATAACCTAATTCGTACTTCATAACAGGAAGTTAATCAAGTTATCGACAGCTCAGGTTGCCATTGCTGGCCATGGACTCAAATGTGAAATAGGAAACTTCGGCACATTAAACTCCTCTCGTCTCCTTTCTCTTGTTGAATACCAAAATCCTAATTCTAGTATCGAGAAGGAATAGGATTTCATTCCTTGGATTGGACATACACATGTAAAACATAAATGGAATCTACATAATGAAAATGGTGAACTACGGAGAACAATAATGGTGTTATTACCTGTGGTGGATCAAGAGTAGAAGGAAAGGAAGATCTATCACGATAAACCCTAGCCCTCGATTTCTCAACCACTACTTCAACCGCACCACCAATCACCACCTTATACATGGAATTCTCCAATACTTCCTTCACTTCCCCCCTCCGCCACCGATTCTCGTGAAATGTCTCCACCTCTTCCCCAACAGAGAAGCAACGGTGTGGCTCCGCCTGTGTCACCGGCCTCCTAACTCCGTCAATTACGTTGACGTAATCCCTGATTTTCTTTCTCTTCCGTCTCCCATCCTTACTGTACCGTTCCATATATAAGGTAGTGAACTTCACATGTAGAGTCCCCTCCGGAGACGGAGAGTTCATTACGGTTGCTGGAAACCAGACTGGAACGTCACCGTCGTCGGTTTTTCTAAGGACCTCGATCTCGTCACCTTTTTTTGAAGTCATGGTTGCAGCTGCCGTGGGTAGACATTGATTACCGTGGGGTAAAACCCTAGGAGAGAGAAACCTATAAACCCTAGAGAGAAAATTTAGGAGTAGGAAGTGGAAGGGAGAAAGAAATCAGTCTACAGCAGTAATGTGACGATGTTCATGGCCGTAAATGGCGACTTGGATGACCGTGTATGCCTCCAGGGGTGAGGTGGCGACGTGTTCCGTGAATATTTTAAAACTAGTTCAAAACCATAGAGGATTTTCGGTAAACTAATGTTTTATAAAACATATATTCATTTTCATTTGAGAAATTTGCCAATATAACCAAAATTGTTAATTCTTTTTAAAAATTAAAAAATTATACAAAATAGCCACAAAAATCGCATGTCATCAGGGTCATATGAAATCGGAAGTCAAAAAATCAGAACGTAAAAGTCTTAATGCATGGCCTGCGGATAAAAGAGTTATAAAATTGAAGATGGACTTCCATATGCTATTTGACTAGGCCCATTGTGATGGAAAAGCCAAATATAAATAGGGCTAATGTCATAAAAATTCTTAAGTTTTCATGAAATATTCGGTTTTACCCTTTTCATATTTTACGTTCGATAAAACCGCAAATTTGCATATATTTTTGCATTCTTACCCTTTTAACAGGTTACTAGGTTAATAGACAGTTAACAACACACGTGGCGTGCCACATGGCGCCGATATGGCACCACATAGACGCTGAGGTGGCATTTCCAATATCACCACATTCATTTGAAACTCTCATGACTTTTCAATTTCTTTCTAATAATAATAACTATAAGTTGGTTAATAATGTTAAATAAATATCAAACCTAAAGTGTAATCATATATTAATTAAATTTAAATATTAAAATAATATATTTACTTCCACTTATAAAGTTATGTTTTTTAACTTTTAACATATTATACTTAATTTATTAGTTTTAATATGTTGTTGAATGTAAACTATTATCATTTTAAAGATACAATTTTGGAACAATTTGTATAAAATATTTGAATTATTAATTTAAATATAACATTACATGGTCAACTTAAATATAAATTTTAGTTTAACTTAAACAACCCAAAAAATATTTTGTAAATAGTTAAAAGTGATAAATTGTAGCGTCTTTCTAATAATGATTATAAGTTGGTTAATAAGGTTAAAGAAATATCAAACTTAAAGTGTAATCATAAATAAATTAAATTTCAATTTTAAAATAATATATTTACTTCTACTTATAAAGTTATGTATTTAACTTTTAACATATTATACTTAATTTATTAGATTTAAAATGTTGTTGTATGTAAACCATTATCAGTTTAAAACTACAACTTTTGAACAGTTTGGACAAAATACTTAAATTGTTAATTTAAATATAACATTACAGTGTCAACTTATATATAAATTTCAGTTCCACTTAAAAAACCAAAGAATATTTTGTAAATAGTTAAAAGTGATAAATTGTAGTGATAAATGTCAAAACTAAATTGTAATCTCAATTTAACTAAAATATTTCCTAAAGATATTTTTACAATCGTTAAAAGTTTTCAAATAAGTAGCTTAAAGTAACTTACAATAATAATAATTAAAAATAACTTTATATAAATTATTATATTGTTACCTTTAAATTCAAAAAACAATGTTTGCTGTTTTTAATAATTATAATGATAGAAATTAAAACATTAATAAATTTTAAAAAATTAATTAACAATAACAACAACTATAAATAACATCAAACCATATATTATATTTAATTTTATTCATGCTAACTTGCGGGTAAAAGTCATTCAAACGATTGAGATTATGCAATTATAATATATGTATATACTATCATATAATTAAAAATAATCAATATATTATATCAATTTAATATACGAATTATTATATCAAATTTAACAACAACGTTATTGTTATATTTTTAAAAAAAATATATATTTGTAAAGACTTCAACTATATAGGTGTTTTTGCGCAACGTGCGGTTATTCGCCTAGTTTTAAAAATAAATGTGTGTACGAGGGAAAGAGGGAAACAATAAGGGTCGAACACACGACCTCCTAGGGCAACTCCAAGGAAAGAACGTCACTTCCACTAGGCTGGAAGGTTTTTTGTTGCTTTACTGCTGACGTTCGATATATAATGCATAACGTTGAAAGATTTTGAATATTATTATTATTATTATTATTATTGTTATTATTATTATTATTATTAATGAAAGTATGCATATAATTATAAACACATATTTAAATTTATAAAATATATTTTTATATGTATTTATACATTTTCAAAAGGCATAAATGCATATGAATATGAATAAATACGTTTTTAATATATATAAATATATAAATGTTTCTAAATTGTATAAATACGTTTTAATATGTATAAACTGTATACAAATATGTTTTTATATGTTTTTTTAATAAATATAAGTACTGTTTTTTATACATATACATTTTTATTTGAAAAAAAATACATAACCAAATGATTAAATACATATATAATACACTAAAAATGTATTTTATAGTTAGTTGACGTTATATATAAAACTTATTTTATAGTTAGTTGACGTTATATATAAAAATGTATAAAAAAAACATTATGTCTAAGTACGTTTTGTATGTATATTTTATTATGTGAATATGAGTTTTTTCAAATACAAACGTTATATGTATAAAAAACATATTTATATGTATTTATACAATTTAAAAACATATTTATATATTTATATGTATACAAAAGAAACCATAGTAATAGATATTTTCATATTTATATGTAGCTTTTATACAAAATAAATACATATTTATATCTATTAAGTATAAATAAATATATTTTTTTATATATAAATACGTTTTTAAATGCATAAACACAGTTTTTAAACATAAAAATACCTTTAAAATGTATTTATAACTTTAAAAACATATTTTTTAGCTTTAAAACTATATTTATATATTTAAAATATATATAATAAAAATAAATAAATGAATAATAATAATAATAATAATAATCTAAGTAATAATAATAATAATAATCTAAGTAATAATAATAATAATAATAATAATCTAAGTAATAATAATAATTAAAATCATTCAGCATTTTAGGTTACATTATAAATCATATTCCAGCACTAGCGACAAAAAAACGTTTCTAGCATAGCGGAAGGGTGGTTGCGTTTTGCTTGTAAGTTGCTTATAGGTTCCGAGTTCGAACCTTGTTACTGCGGCTCCCATTACCACTTTATTTCTACATTTTTAAAATAAAAGAAATGCCACCTCAGCGTCTATGTGTCGCTATATCAGCCCCATCAGCGCCATGTGGCATGCCACGTGTGTAGTTAACACTCTACTAACCTAGTAACCTGTTAAGAGGGTAAGAATGCAAAAATATATGTAAATTTGCGGTTTTAACGAACCTAAAATATGAAAAATGGTAAAACCGAATATTTCGTGAAAACTTAAGGGTTTTTATGACATTAGCCCATATAAATACCATTGTTTTTTTGAAAAACCCTCATTTTTTATCTTCTAAGTTGGGAAAACTTTCTCAAAACCTCTTATTGAAGAACGATGTACGATTCCGTTTATTCTCCCGAAAACATGGTAAGATCTCTACTTATTTAGTGTTATAATCATCATTTACAAGGTTTTATATAATTTATATTCTGTTTCTGTATGCTTTTTTTGCTGAAAACGGAAGAATATAATATTTGGTAGATAAATTGTTAAATGTATGGCTATTTTCAACTATTTGATTGTTAGCCTTAGAATTTTTAGAACATTTCATAGTTCTGCAGATTTGCGATTGTAATGTATATGCACAATATATGTTCTGTGTTCAAATGAGAATATACAAGTTTCTGATGTAGTAGGTGTGTATTATGTGGTTGTACATTCGCATGGTGCTTCATGAGAACCTTGTACATTCACAATATATGATAAGAATGTACAAGTTTCCGATGCAGTAGGCGTGCATTATGTGGTTGTACATTCGCATGGTGCTTCATCAGAATCTTGTACCTTAGATTTTTTTAGTGAAATGTTTATTGTATATTTATTGTGCGTCTAATTTATAATGTAGGAGTGTTAGTGCTTAGTTTTTTTAATTTCCAATGTAATTTAGTAGTTTTAGTGTATATGATTGTATGTTTATTGTATATTTACACATTTCAACAACTTCTTTTATTTCGGTATGCCTCCCAAAATTTTAAAGTTGTGCTTAATGTGAAAGGTTCCGAATGTAAACTATGGAAAGTGTTTGAAAGATTACAGGTTGTACGAGAAACATTCCAAAGAAGTATTTTTGGTTATTTGTTGGACATACATTCGTTGCAGGGAGACGGTTTGCTTATACAATTGTTTGTAATCTATTTTAAGTTAGTAATGAAGTCTATGTAATGACACGTTAAGCGTTTTTTCATAATTTATTTTTAACAAAAAGCCTACTTTTGGCCTAATTAAGTGTATACTCCATATATCCGTTTTGAGAGAGTGATACGTTTATGGAAAGAACTATAACAACGTATTTAAGGGAAAAAAAACTTGGTAATCAGATTTAAAACTTATCTCTTTTAGTGGTGTGAAAATATCACGTTAAGCATTTTTTTCACAGTTTTTTTAAGCATCACAAGATTATCTTGAAATTAAAAAAAAACATAACAATAGACACTGAATTTAAAGACTCTTAAATTTAAGGGAGGTTTAAATCAAAGAAAAAAAAACTAGGTAATCGAGTTTAAAACAGACCTGTTAAAATGGTGTGAAAATGGCATGTTAAGCGTTTTTGCACCGTTTTTTTTTTCATATACAAATACATTACAACAACATCCTCAAAATTAAATACATAAACATCACAACAACATCATAGATATAAAATAAAAACGTTACAACATACGTTAAATGTAGAGACTCTTAAACTTATGGGAGGTTTTGTACCGCCTGGTTCCAGGTACACATTTACATTATAATTTATTCATTTTTTGTAGAGCAACTCGACGAGTTGGGAGCCCCAA